CAAGCAAAATATAGGCTAGATAACCTATGATAATATCAATTAGTTCATGTTTTTAATTTTAATTAAATATCTATACCTTTCTGAAGGAATAAAAAACCAATATTTAAAGAAGATCTTTCCATGAAAACATAAGATCAGTTTTGATATAAAATCTTTCTCGAACGAAAACAATCAATATTTATTCATTCATCAATAACAAATATGATTTAGTTAAATATATATTTACATTTAGTGTATTCTTATTTTAATAACAAATCGTCAATCTCAAGCGCCATCTTTGCTTTCCTAGGTGATAATGAAATTCAAGCTCTATCAAAATATATAGTTACTTTTTTAAAAAGATAACTTTATGATGATGAAAAATTGAAAAAAACTAATTATGACGACAATGACAAAAACAAGTCTATGAGAACCTGGATATGAAAGTGCCTTTATTGCATAAAATTTGTTTCGGTAATCCATATGTGCAAACGAAAATGCAAATATACAGTGTAATAGAAAACTCCATGCGCTTTCAGAATATATCATTATTTTGTTTAAAAATAAGTTTTTATGATAATCATTTAACTGAAATACGGACTGCAGCTATTTTTTTCGGACGTATATATCCACGCCACTAATCGATGTTCTTGGACTCATTCTTTCCAGATTCTTGTTCAAGACGGTAGCAAGATTCTTGACAGGAAAGATAAATCTTGTCTGTTCAGGCAAGAATCGTATAGACTGAATCTTGGCTGGCAAATCAAGATTTGTCTTTCCTGTCAAGAATCTTGCATTCTTGAAAATCAGGTACAATTCTTGCTGGTAAATCAGGATAAGGCTCTTGTCTGATCTCCAAGATAAAAAAGAATCTTGGCTGATCGACCAAGAAAGCCAAGATTCTGGGAAGAATGAGGCCAAGAACGTCGACTAGTAGCCTTTCGTTTTTTTTTCTTTCTGCCAGCTGGGGAGCTGCACCAGATTTTCTGGTCCCGACCAAAGGATCGTGAACCATTCTGTCATCTTGAATACTGAACTCTGATTCGAATATACATTTTGTAGGGCAATGTTTTCTCTTTGAGACTATCTGATTGGAACTGTACAAAAATCATTCAAAGCTGAAGATTTTTAAATAAAACGTCTGGATCTATAGGTTCGGGTCTGATCAGGTGCATACTTGCATCTGGACCTTTTATTTAAAACTCTTCAGCTTTGGATGGCTCTTGTACATTTCTAATCGCATAATCTGAAAGAGCAAACATTGCTCTACAAAATGTATATTCGAATTAGAGTTTAGTATTCGAGATGATAGAATGGCTCACGATTCCTTGGTCGGGACCAGAAAACCTGCACAGCTCCCTACTGTCAGATACGTTCCCATATTGTTTTCTCTTTGATTCTACATTTCTTCTTTTCATATGATCATTCAGGTATATTCCATTCGTATCATATCTATTCCTGGTATATTCCGTCATCTGACAAGTGTATATCGATGTGTGTGTGATCACAAAAAGACTCTTATCTTTTGAAATAACAGCATATAGACAAGAACATATTACAGATCTAACAGATTTATTGACACAAATACGTATGAAAAGAGGCAGACCATTCATAGCAAAAATAAGGCTTTACTGACACAATATTATGCTATATTTCTTTTTTTTTATTTCCGTTGTAACTAAAAATGATTATTTAATTCTTTTTTTTCTTATTGCTAAAATATGAAATTCCTACTGCTATTTAATGAACTAATTATTGTACATTTAATATAAAGTTGCTTAAATAAAGTTTTTTTATTACCTACAAATTATTGCTAAATCATATTTTAATTGTTCCTCATTCCAATATTTTTATTACTCAAATAAACACCAGTCTTATAATTAAACGTGCACTCGCCGTGAGCCACAAATTCAGATACATATTCGGCTAATCTTTTTAGGCTGAATATTCTTGTGCTAGACATTGTTCATGCTGATAATTGATTATGCTGAAATTTTCTGTACTTTACACATCAAAACTTTCGTTGTTATCATATGTTCATATGAAACAAAGCCAGTAATGTGCTACATGCAGAAGAAATTTAAAGATTAATATACCTATGTTCTCTGTTCTTTGTTACAGCACAGTTTAGATTAAAAAAAATATTTTCTTTTATTGATAACTAATAACAAAGGAAAATATTGATGGAAATTTTTTGGACGAATAAATGATCGACATACATCAAGACTTTTCAATGTACCGAAATTGAAATCCAATGCATCTTTGGTGAAGTTCTTTGTTATCGTTGTGAGTGATTTGTATCTGATTCCGAGATTTGACAAACGAGGTAGATAAGCATTGTTTTTCAAAAGAAATAGTTTAACATAGTGAACATGTGCACGTCGTAGATCAAGAAATGTGAGATAAGGAAATGTGATTAATGTTGATGAATGTGTCTTGTACTTTTGTGGATGATAATTATATATATTTAAGAATTGAAGAAAAGGAAAATCCTTAGAGATCAATTGAAAGAATTTATGTTCAAAAGGAATTCCATCAGACATCTTCAATTGTCGAACTTTATCAAACATACCACCTTGAAAAGAATTGTTGATCTTAACAAAATATTCGAAATCATATGGTAGTGAATAGATTAAACATTGGCTTATAATCTTTGAATTAGTATGAACATATGAAGTAACTTGTTGATATCCTCTTCCAATGAAACTACGTTGAATATCTTCATTCGATGGGAGTTCAACTGTAACTTCGTTGTAGACTTCTGTGTTGATACAAAATGTAAATTTCTTTAATTGTGTCATATAAATAAGAAATTGATTATATAATTGAATACCATCAACATAGATCGAGTTAAATCTTTTTATTAATAGAAATAATTTCAATTCTTCGAGATTTATCATGCGACAAAGTAATGGAACAATTAGATTATCATATTGCCATGAATCATTAGATGTGGTGAATGAAAGATATTTCAATTTTGGAAGCTTTTTCTACAAAATAAATAAAATTAAAATTATGTATCTAGTTTAGCATCTTTCTTGCCGAAGAGTTACATGAATTTCGGCTCAAGGAATTTTCGTCCCAGAAGAAAATTTTTTTCATATTAAAATCGAATTACACTGAGTCTAATATTTTTGTTTTGTATTGGGCCGAAAGTCCGGAACGAAAATTCCTTAGATCGAAATTCTAACTTCACATGCTGAACATAATCATTGAAATTCTACTCACCCTTGAACTTCTATCTATTACTGGATCAAAAATATGTTCCACATTAATAATTAATGTTGATAAAGAATCGAGACGACCATCAAGAAGATAAAGACAATCATCTAAACTGAGAACATGGATTTTCAATTTGATTAAAGTTGACGACATATAATTTGATGATCGATAAAAAACGGAAGTCTCATATGTTCGTGTGTGAAACATATTACAAAAATTCAATACAGTTAAATTTTTACATAAAGATACAATTAATTCAAAAATCTTTGACACAGTCATGGAAAAACGTTTTGTTGTTCTTTTAATATCAATATTAAGATGAGTTATTTGTTTGGTAAGAAGATCACGAAGAATTAAATCACCTTTAATTAAAAAAAAACACAGATAATTATTAATTTACATGATTTATCAGAATCTTAAAAGATCATTGGACAAAATGCTTATAACGTTATAACGGAGAGATAACGTTATAACTTTGAGAGCTCGAGACCTGCAGCCTTCGTTGTTCGAAAGAGAGGTCAGGGAGATGTTGTCGATCCGTTCTTTCGAATGATGAAGACTGCAGATCGCTAACTGTCTCTGTTAAAAAGTTATATGCATTTTGTCAATGGCCATTTTTATAAAATTTCGATAATTAAATTCATTATCTCGTTAATTAAAGCGAATAAAATGAAATAGTATACCTCTTAAATATTGATAAAGTATTTTTGCTTGAAAATTAATTAGTGATAAGGAATAAAGTTCAGAATAATTGGCAGCAAGAAGAATATCTTTCATTGAATATTGTTCAACAGTCAGTTTATGTACTTGACGATGAATACGAGGTAAGATTTTCGAACAAATTTTTGAAAGAGTTTCAGTATCTATTGAAGGAGTTTTATCATAGAGCGAATTAATGATCATAATATCAGTCATATCCAGATCACGAACATTAAGAGGATCAAGTGCTAATCGATCAAATTGTTGATTAACACCAACTAGTAAATGGAATACATCAATTGTATTAGGTTTCTTAAAAATGATGAATAAAATTTCATCAGGTAAATCAAGTATATTGAGATTATCATTATTTAAATTGTTCATGTCTATAAATAACTCACAGAATGCATTTATCTTAATCTATATTTATACATCTCATACCGTCTATAAGAAGAATGACGGATAAATATTGATGCTGTCATGTTGTTCTATATGGCCTGAAAGAGGTCAAACACATTGAAAAAGCGAATTACGTCAAAATTGAATTAAGCTGTGTGATTGGTGCATTATGACTTAAATCATCTTTCACTTTTTTTCAATGTGTGTTGATCTCTAAATGATGAAAACAAACGACTACACTAATTCAAAATAAACTAACCAATAGAAATGGCAGGTATGTATCAAAATGGCCGAAAGAAAAAATAGCGAACGAAAGAAAAGCGAAAATCAAATGTCGAAAAAAATTACAGCGAAAAAAAAACATGTCGATCATATAAAAATAGCGAAAATGTGTATTTTATTAAAAAAGTCGAAAATGTTCCAGACATCACTAGGTGACACTTAATGCTTCTTTTCCGTACTGGTATTTACTTGGAGGCGTGGATCCGAGTGGATAGTTCATAGCTCTAGCTAGGTCTGCACCCAATTCCCACATCTTACCACCGACACCCTGTTCTCTCCAAACTGACAATATACATACACGCGCCTATTTTTTCTTAGTGTACCTACCAGCAGGGGTGTTCCGAAGTGAAGGTGATTCCCCAAATCTTGAAATTTTAGTTTTTTCCCAGCAATTTCCCAGCATTTTATTCGTTTTTTGTTCGCTGATTCTCTAACAATCGGTCAACCCCTCCTAAATCCTGTCAATCTCACCGAAAATTTTTCAATCGGTACTCTGAGCGATCGAACGCCCCCCCCCCCCCCCCCCCCCCCCCCCCCCCCCCCACCCCCCCCCCCCCCCGACCACTCACCCCTACCACACCACAATCTCT